AGTTTCAGAACAAGAATGTAGACAGAAACTTAAGAAAATAAAAGTTGTACAAGTTGGAATGAAGATGTTAGATGCTTGGGTATCTTATTGTCAAAGTTAGAAGATTTTTCAGTTCGAGGTATAAAGTTCTATACACCTTCTCCAAACTTCTATTCTATCTTCACTGGATATAAATATGAACAAGTAGAAATGGAAAGAAAATATTATAGAAGCTTGGTTAGACCATGTCAAAGAATATATGCAATGGAAACGAAAGAGTCTATGAGTATATCTTTATGTTGGTTTGCAAACATCTTACAACATCCAAGTGCTAAGAATGAAACTGCCTCATTATAATTGGAAAACAAGGAACTGGTAAGAACACATTCTTTACAGATATCTTGTGCAAACTGTTAGAGGGCTATTCGAATCCGAATATGACAAACTTAGAAAACATCTGCGGCAAGTTTAACTCCTCAATAGAGAATATGAAACTTATAGTATGTAACGAACTTCAAAGTATAATACAACAAAAGTTTTGAACTCAGATGCTTTTGAAGAGTCTTATAACAGACAAAGTTGGAGTTGTTGAAAGAAAATAAAGACCAAGAGTTTGTGAAAATGTTGCAAACTTCATTATGGTTTCAAACAATGCTGTTCCGATGAAGTTAGAAAGTTCTGACAGAAGATATGTAGTTGTCAGAACGTCAGAAGCTCATATGCAAGATACAGAATATTTTGACGACTTAGCAGAAACTTTGACATCTGACTTTTACAACCACCTGTTCTCATATTTTATGACATTAGATATTTCAAAGTTCAATCCAAGACAAATTCCACATACCGAAGAGAGACAAACATTGTTAGAAGCAAACAAAGTGTATATGAACTGTTCATAGATGAAACTGACTTTGAGTGTTTAGATGAAAGGTCATTGTACGATTCGTATAAACAATATTGTCAAGAATATGGTTATATGACAGCGTCTAAACGAACATTCTTGGCAAATGTCAAAAAGTTTTAGACGTACAGAATGGTGTATATACAAAGAAAAATTTTTATGAGTAAATTTTAAAAAAAAATATTTTTTTTATCCGATAGAAAAGATGGCAAAATTCATCTCAGTAAACAAGTACATGTCAGGACTTAAAGAAGAACTAGACCCATTCACATATTTGAATGTTTACTTCTACCATTTGAAAAGTCTTCATTCAGCAAAGTTTGGAACATCGAACCAGTTAAGTTTGCTATTGTGACTAAAAATGGTGCGAAATTTGAAGACTTAGACATAGAAGGTTTGTTAGCAGTCAAAGAAAGTTTTGACAGAAGGTTTTCAAACCTTAAAGAAGGCAAAGCATACAAACTTGTTATACCTTATGAACCAAAGAAAGCAGACGACTATGAATATTATGAGTCTAAAGTTGTAGAAGTTCAAGGTAAATTGGGTAAAAAGATTTTAGAGTCTAAGCCAGTGTTTACTCCTAAAGAGGAAGAGAACATTGACATTGACCAGAAATGTTCTAAAAATAAAATTTTATTTTTACATGTCAAATTTCTTTTTCTCTGGAACTGGTTCAGGTTCTCTTCTTTCTCTCTTTTTTCTCTTTCTTTTCTTTCTTCTTCTTTTCTGGTGGAGTTATGTCAAATTTGGCGCAACTATATTTATGTAAAAGTTCTTTGTCCTTTAATAGCTCTTCTATTCTGTTTTCTATTTCATCTTCAAGAACGGCGCATGTGTCTTCTTTGCATTCTAAGAAATTTTGTTGGACTTCATCTCTCCAAGAGGCGTCTTCTCTCTGTCAACAAGTCTGTCATTGACAAATTTAAGACTTCTCTGCCTAATGTTTTATGGTTCTTGTCATATTCCAGAAACAGAACTTTAGAACAAATTCACCTTTCTTGTTTACACTATGTAAGATTTTATGGTCGACAGATGTTTTGCTGTCGAAAAGCTTGTCTCGAATATAGATAGCGAAATCGCTAGACATTTTCTAAAAGATAAAAAATTTTAATTTTTCTAAAAATATGTTAGAAAAAAAGTTTGCTGACATTGACAAGAAATTTGAGAATGTTTTAAACAAGAACAAGAGGAAGTTAGAAAATGCTCAGATAAAGCCTATACATGACAAGTTCTTATTTGCTCAGAATGGTATAACAGGTCTAATTGCACCACCTGGGTCGGGTAAGACTTTCACTTATCTTAAAATGGCTGCACAACAACAAGAACTAGATGAGAAGAACCCATTCTATGAGTTAGTTGTCATTTGTAGTACTTCTGGTCAATTTGACCAAACCGTCAATTCGTTCAAAGATATTATAAAGAAGTCTAAGTTAGTATGTATAAAGGATACTGAGTTGTTAGATTGGATAAAGAAGTACCAAAGAAGAGTTTTGAAGTATAATGCTATAAATGAGTATATAAATTCTAAGTTTAAAGACCCTAATGAGGAAATGCAGAGAATATTAGAGAAGAAACACTTCAGAAACAAACAGAAAGAGATAGAATACATTTCGAAGAAATTGCAATCTTACGATTGGAAGACATACCCTCATAGGTGTCTTCTTATCTTAGATGATTTCGCCTCTCATCCTTTGTTAAAGAACAGAGAACAAGACATGTGTCGAATTCTTAAGAAGCTCAGACACTTTAACATCTCAGTTGTCATTTGTGTACAGACAGCAAAGAGTTTAAGTAAGGATGTAAAGAGAATACTTACTGACATTGTACTTTTCCCCGGATTGTCCGAAGACGATTTCATGAAACTTATGAAAGAGTCCATGGCAGGTAAGTTTGACAGACATGAACTATGGGAGAAGTACAAAGTCATACAAGACCCTCATACTTCTTTCAGAATTCATATCTACGCGAACAAAGTTCAAATTGTAAAAAGTCAAGCTTGAAAAATGTAAGTGTTTAGTCTTAGTAAGTCTGTTGTGGTGCTGGGGCTGTCGGTTCTTCTGGCTTTGGAAGGCATTCAGGAAGAGGGACGTGAGACATTCGTTTGTGTCCTGTTGGAAGGAAAAACTTTTCCTGTCGGAAGGAAGAACTTTTCCTGTTGGAAGGAAAAACTTTTCCTGTCGGAAGGAAAAACTTTTCCTGTTGGAAGGAAAAATTTTTCCTGTTGGAAGGAAAAACTTTTCCTGTTGGAAGGAAAAATTTTTCCTGTTGGAAGGAAAAACTTTTCCTGTCGGAAGGAAAAACTTTTTCTGAAGTTCGACCAAAAAGTTCTCAATTTTCGAAAATTTGAATGGTTTACGGACGGACAACTGGAAAATTTTTTCCTGTCGGAAGGAAAAACTTTTCCTGTTGGAAGGAAAAACTTTTCCTGTTGGAAGGAAAAACTTTTCCTGTCGGAAGGAAAAACTTTTCCTGTTGGAAGGAAAAACTTTTCCTGTCGGAAGGAAGGACTCGGAATGCCAGAAGGATTTGACGAGGCAATTTACCTAATTGAGCTACTTGAGCCATCTGAAGTCAAGCGTAAAAATAAAGAGTTCATCTACCCTACTTGTTTGAAGTTGTCAAAATACTCTGTTATTTTTTCCTTTAACAATGGCAAATCTTCTTTGAAGGTAAGAATTGTACAACCTTTCATATCATAGTGTGTTTGAGGTAACGTATCTTGAACTATTTGTTTCACATCTTCATTCGGTGTCATTGAAATCGGTAAGTTTTCGCGATAGAACCAATTTCTGTCAGATTTGTAAATCTTAGCAAGGTCGTAAAAGCTTTTGTTGTTTCTTCTGACTAAATGCAACATAACCATATCTCTGTCTTCTTCTTTCTCCAACTCTTCAGTATAAATCATATACTTATAGTTCTTTTCCTTTCCTTTTGGTACCGAACGTGGTATTCTTTTCTGAATGCTTTTGTCTTTTGCTTCAATGACTTCATCTTTTGCTTGAAGTTTCTTTTCCATCTCTTCACGTTCTTGTCTATGAATTTCGTCAAGAAGTCTGTAAATATACCAAGCATAACGAGGCGAAGCCCACATTGCAACAGCATTTACAAGAAGTCTATGTACATACCAACCTCTCAAACCATTTGGCAAATTTTTACGATTTTCATGAGTTTTAGGCGACCCCGAAAAAAGTCGGTCTCGCTGTGCTTCGCTCAAAAGTTCTTGTGTGCTTTGGTTTTTGAACCAATCGTCTGTATGTTTGGTATCTGGAGCAAAACATGCTGTCAAAATACTTTGCATTTGGTACATATCGTCTTTGACCGAACGAATGAGACGGAGTTGTTTGTTATACTGTATGTACTCATATTCTTCATTTATAGCTTCATGAACGATAGCAGTTGTTGTGTTCTCTGTTGTTGACATATCTGTCCTTACATACAAAATAAAAAAATAAAAAAAAATAAAACTAACTTTATTTTTTCTATCTTAAGGAAATTCACTGTTTTCATGAGTTTTAGGCGACCCAGATAAAAGTCGGTCTCGCTGTTCTTCACTGTTTTCATAGAGTTTTAGGCGACTAAGGTTTCTTACCTACTCGCTGTTCTTCACTGTTTTCATACGGAATCTCTTCTCTCGGTTTTCCGAGGGAAGCAATCTTATGCCATTTTACTCAGATTTTCATACGGAATTCAGCAAAAATATAATTTAGGGTAGAAGGTTAGATCTAACCTCCTTTCTAACCTGTTTTTTTCACAACCGTTTTACATGGTAAACGTTATTTTTACATTATGACACGAAGTGAACATTGACACTTCGTCAAAAAAATCCCTGAAATCATATCTTACATACAAAATAAAAAAATAAAATGACACTTTTTCATTAGATAACTGTTATTTTTTGACGAAGTGAACATTGACACTTCGTCAAAAAAATCCCTGAAATCATATCTTACATACAAAAAAAAAATAAAATGACACTTTTTCATTAGATAACTGTTATTTTTTGACGAAGTGAACATTGACACTTCGTCAAAAAAATCCCTGAAATCATATCTTACATACAAAATAAAAAATAAAACTAACTTTATTTTCTGACTTTCACAAAAGACCAAAAATAAACGCTTTACATGTATTTTTCAGCAACTTCGTCAAATAATTTTATAGCTTTATCTATCTCATCTACTTCAAACGTTTCTTTACCTTTTATGGGAGCACCATACATTTTCTCAAACTTTTCAAGTAGTTCTGTTTCAGCAGCTCTCATATCATTAGCAAACACAACCTTGACTATATTGACTGTACTGTCATATCTTAGAGTTATATTATATGTTCTTCCTATCTTATATCTCTTTGTATTGAAGTCCTTCGGTTTCTGAACGATGTAAAGTAAGCCTTCACTGCAACGTTCCGTATCGAATGAACCATATGTTATGAAGTTATATCCAACAACTGGGTCTAACCATAACAAAACTATTGGTATAAGACTTTTGTCGATGAGATATGCTGCAGTTCCATAGAATTTTACCGATATCATAAGCTCAGGATTTCTTGTCAAAATTTTCTGAGTAGAAGCATTTATAACCCAGTGGTTTGTTTTCTTTCCAAATGGAGATAAAATGTCTGACAAAGAATATTTGTTGTATTTCTTTGAGTATCTTACGTTTAAATCACCTATTCTAACCACTTTGGTGTCATTGTCTATCTTTCTAACTGTTTCAAACTCAATGTTTGTCATTTCTGTTCTTACATACAAAATAAAAAAATAAATAAAAATAAAACTAACTTTATTTTTTATTTCGGGAAAACTCATGAAATTTGGTCATTTTTCAGCAAAAATAAAGTTTAGGTGAAGTGGTGCGATCTCACCTGTTTTCTCACCTCTTTTTTTCACAAGCGTTTTACATGAATTGTACGATGTATATTTGAAATCCTAAACAATTTCGTAGCTTCTATTTCTTCTTTTAGTACATCGAATGTTTTAACAATGCCGAAAGTTTCTTTATACTTCTTCTTGACGTCAGATAGAAGGAAATCTTCTGCTGTTGGATAGTTTTTGTCAAGACTTCATTGTAAATGACCAAAAATATATTTTATGTTAGAATGTTAGATCTAACATGTTTTCTAACACGTTTTCTAACATGGTCTAAAACACACAAAACTCATGAATTTTCAAGACTTCATCGAACTTAAATGTTTTGTCAAGACTGCATTGTAAATGACCAAAAATATATTTTATGTTAGAATGTTAGATCTAACACGTTTTCTAACACGTTTTCTCACATAACTATTTACAAGCGTTTTACATGGTATATGTTGCGATGGTTCATGACTTTAAACAGTTTTGTAGCTTCTATTTCTTCTTTTAGTACATCGAATGTTTTAACTATGCCGAAAGTTTCTTTATATTTCTTCTTGACGTCAGATAGAAGGAAATCTTCTGCTGTTGGATAGTTTTTGTTCAGAAATTCTAACATGTCCATTTTATCTTCTGCTGGTTTTTCTGCTTCTTTCTTTAAGTCTGCATAGTCGTTTCTCATTCTTTCTATCTCTTTGACGGAGTAGTTATATCTCCTCATTGCTGCTTTACATTTAGAACATTGCGGGTTCATTTTTGCGTTATATTCTGAAACCTTACCTGCTAAAACAACTAAAGCGTCAATGGTTTTCTTTAACTCAAAAGTTGCTGGTTTTATCTGTTTATTCCATACTTTACCTCTTCTATCTTCATCTCTTATCTGCCATACACATTCAGCAACTAACGAAACAAAGTTGTCGTAGGTCTTAAATTCTTCAGATTTATATATGTCAGAAACATTCTTATATACCATGTCGCAATCTTTGTCCATAACCTTATGGTTGCAATGAAATCCTAGAAACTCATAGTTTACCTTTCGTATGAACTTCTTTATTTCTACTGAGTCAGTTGGTTTCACTTCTATTTCATCGAATTCAGGAATGGTTAGTTTTTGTTGCTGAATTTCAGGTAATTTAGGCAAATGGTCAATAATGTCCTCCATTTCACAAAGATACTGTTCATTTGTTTCATCTTTCGCACTACAGTCTAAATTACTTGTTAAAAGTTCTTGCTTTATCTTCTGGATTTTTGTTTCGAAAGTATATGAAGAAGGAATGAAGCTTTTCATCTCTACTAACATAGATGTTGGATTCATGACTAACGAGTTTGGTGCTGTAGTTGTTTGAAGTGTTGTTGTGCCGATTGTTGACATTTTTATTTTTTTATACAAAATAAAAAAAATAAAAAAAATAAAACTAACTTTATTTTTTATTTCGGGAAAATTCATGAAAATTCAAGAGGTTAGAAAAAACAGGTGAAAAAACATTTACGAAGAAGTCTTGACAAATCATTTACGATGAAATCATGACAAAACATTTACACTCATTACGAAGAAGTCTTGACAAAACATGTACGATGAAGTCATGACAAAACATGTACGATGAAGTCATGACAAAACATTTACGATGAAATCATGACACTTTTTCATTAGATAACTGTTATTTTTTGACGAAGTGAAGGTTGACACTTCGTCAAAAAAATCCCTGAAATCATATCTTTTATACAAAAAAATACAAAAAATGACACTTTTTCATTAGATAACTGTTATTTTTTGACGAAGTGAAGGTTGACACTTCGTCAAAAAAATCCCTGAAATCATATCTTACATACAAAAAAATACAAAATAAAACTAACTTTATTTTTTCTGTCTTAAGGAAATTCATGAAAATTCATGAGGTTAGAAAACATGTTAGAAAACATGTTAGATCTAACATTCTAACATAAACTTTATTTTTGGGTCCTTTACACTCATTACGATGAAGTCATGACAAAACATGTACGATGAAGTCTTGACAAAACATGTACGATGAAGTCATGACAAAACAGGTGAGATCTAACATGCTAACATAAATTATATTTTTGGTGTAAATTTCATGATTTTCGAAAGTTTTAGACCATGTTAGAAAACGTGTTAGAAAACGTGTTAGATCTAACATTCTAACATAAACTTTATTTTTGCTGTAAATTTCATGAAAATTCATGAGGTTAGAAAACATGTTAGAAAACATGTTAGATCTAACATGTTAACATAAACTTTATTTTTGGGTCCTTTACACTCATTACGAAGAAGTCATGACAAAACATTTACGAAGAAGTCTTGACAAAACATTTACGATGAAGTCATGAAAATTCAAGAGGTTAGAAAAGAGGGTAGAAGACAGGTTAGATCTAACATGTTAACATAAATTATATTTTTGGTCCGGGAACAACTTTCTCTCAATTGGAGCTGTGGCATACTCTTTGCGTAAACGGTTCAGACCTTCTTCGAACTCTTGGTCTCTCTTCGATTTGGATTGAGATTGGAATTGCTGGGGTGGAGCTTGCTGGAACATCCAAGGGTTGGGGAAGTAAGGCATAGGCAGAGGAGGGTAGTTCGGGAAGCCTTGTGGTGGGTAGTAACCTTGAGGTGGAAATTGGTAGTAAATCGGAGGTACTTGCTGGAACTGAGGTTGCTGAGGAGACTGTTGTGGTTCTTTAGGTTCCTCTGGTTTGGGAATGGACTGGGTTGGTGGGACGTGGGACATTCGTTTGTGGCTTAACCGTCGGACCACAAACGATAAAAATCTCTGCTACTAGCAGTACTGCTACTGACAGTAGCAGTACTTTTACTGACAGTAGCAGTACTTTTTCTGACAGTAGCAGTACTTTTTCTGACAGTAGCAGTACTTTTACTGACAGTAGCAGTACTTTTACTGACAGTAGCAGTACTTTATCGTCGAAAACCCTCTCAAATTTTCCTTTTTACTGACAGTAGCAGTACTTTTACTGACAGTAGCAGTACTTTTACTGACAGTAGCAGTACTTTTACTGACAGTAGCAGTACTTTTACTGACAGTAGCAGTACTTTTACTGACAGTAGCAGAGATTTTTATCGTCCAACTTTACAAATGTAAACTTATATCGTTCTATTTTCTTCACTAGGGTCTAACACCAAAGTAACCTTACAATGTAAACTTATATCGTTCTATTTTCTTCACTAGGGTCTAACACCAAAGTAACCTATGTACATGAAATTTCACTGCATAAAAGGAAAAAACCTGCGCGAATCGGGATTTGAACCGAGGTCTTCGACGCCTTTAACGAGGTAGCCATACCACTGAGCTATGAGCCGCTTGCATATTCACAAAAATAAATTGTTTTCATGAGTTTTCTACGATGTTAGAAAAAATGTTATTTTCTAATATCTTCACATTCAATACTTTTTCAGCACTTTTCCGTAGTTATATATGAAAGACAATTCGAGATAAAAGTCATAGTACAATGGAATAATATGTTGCACACCATTTGTTGTGAACCAAACTTGAAAGTCAGAGAAACTGTTACTAGGTGGTTCGTAGAATTTAGAAGCAAAGTCATAAAAGTCCTTACCAATACATAGAAAACTATTGTTGCTTGAACTGAAACTTGCATGACACATAACATTTTGAGGGTCAAACACGTTTCTATAAACTGTCAAATCTGCTGGTGGAAGTATAAATTGAAATGGACCATCTGGTGGTAATGGTTCGTTCTGGTTTAGTAACCGAAGAAATTGTGCCCAAGAACGTTTGTCTACTTTCCAAAATAAAAACTCTGTATCTCTTGGAGGGTTAATTTCAATCTTTTGAAATGAAACGGTGGAGTTCATCTTGTCATATTCTAGTTTCAGATAGTATGTTCCATTTAGTAAAGAGTCGTATTTTCTTGAAATTCCCAATAATATTTTGTTCATTTTGAGTTTGAAAGTCATTTAGAGTTTTTCTCAAGACTTTCGTCTGAACGAACTGTAAAGATTCTCATTTCGTCAAATTTGTCTATTAGACCATCAGAACCTTTTATACTGCCCATGAAAATATACTGCGAACATAAATGCGTTAGTTCTATTTGAAAACAAAACTCTTCTAAATCCTATTGCCTTTGCATCTGAAGGACTTTGAAGCCAACGAATTGGATAGTCAAACCTGTATGTTCGGGATGAAATTTCTTCATCTGAAATAGTCCTACCAGCATTTGTAAAGATATAGTCTAACGGTTTTGTATCTGCTACTTTTGTTCTTTGTTTTTCAACCTGAAGCATTTAATATATGTAAAAATATATTGTTTTAAAATGGTATTGCCATTTCATATTTCTCATCTAACAAACAAGTTTCCCAACGGTCTTCTCCAACAAACTCAGCGTACATTTCAAAAATTTAAAAATGTCACTTTTTTAAAAATAAATTTTTACTTCATGCAATGTTCACTAACATCGAAAGGCATGTCCATAAGACGTTCTTCTTCTAACCTCTCTGTCTGTTTTGGATAATTTGCACGTGCTGTTTTCCAAATCCATTTCGTAGCGAAGACCAGCCAGTTTGTCATAGACTTTTATGGGTCTTCCCTTCCTATATTTAAACTTCTTCGAAACTTCCAACCATATCTTTGTAACTCTGCTTTTATTCTAGCAGATTTTCTATCCATTCTATATGGGGGCATTTTTA